CGAGCCGAACACGAGCCATTCGCGAACAAAGAGTCGTTTTGATAACCCTAATCACGTAGTCATAAGATGTTAATGATTGAGACAAGATTTAAAACAACATTTAAATCTAATTTAATAATTTTTATTCTATTTTCTTCATTAATACTTTTAATTGATTATAAATCTTTGTAGCCTTGTAATCAATTAAATTTTTTAAAAATACTACTCATCAAATATATATATAATTGATTAGTATTATTTCGAGTCAAAACGAGCCGAACAAGAATGAACAAATATTGGTTCGTGTTGTTCGTATTCGGCTCGTTAACTTAGCGAATGAGTCGAACACGAGATTGTACGAGATTGTTAACAAATCGAATAGGAGCTGTTCGCGAACAACGAGCGATTTTGACAGCCCTACATGTAATAACTATATTGTGCGGATAAAATAAAAATATATATTTAATCAGCTGTTCGCGAACAACGAACGGTTTTGACAGCCCTACATGTAATAACTATATTGTGTGGATAAAATAAAAATATATATTTAATCGTAATATAATGAAATATCATTATAATATCACAAAATATCACCATAATATGAACATAATAAGAGAATTGTGCAATTTCTTCCTATATCCTATATCAATGCGGCTACACTGGTGGCCGCGGTGTTTCTGCTCGGGAATGGAACCTTATATTGTCTAGCTCTGTACGTTTTCTGAGATTCGATTCGTCGTGGAAGGCGATTTTCTTCTCTCCATCTCCGCTCCTTTCCTCTCACTCTCTTTCTCAACATCTTATTCCCACTCAGCACTGATCTCACTTACATGGAATTTGGAATCTCACAGTGGTTCGTTGAGATTTCGGTCATGGAGGTAAGGAAGCTGTGATTGCTTCAGTTTCGTTTCCTTCGTGTTTTGAAAGTTGTTGAGTGGGAGAAGAACTTGATAGGAAGCGGAGGATCAAGAAAAATGATTGAGAGTTTTGTGCTGATGGGGAGGGGCTACCAGTACGGGGCGACGGAAGCGGCGGCCGCGGTGCTATCAAGAGACCCGAAGCCGCGGCTTAGGTGGACGCCGGACCTCCATGATCGTTTTGTCGACGCCGTTGCCAAGCTCGGCGGACCCGATAGTAAGTCCTGCCGACCCTTCTCTCTCTCTTTCTCTCTCAATCGCTTACTCACTCTCATTCCCATTCTCTGTCTGACTTCGTAATCACTTTGATGGTGTATCATCGGATGAGGGTGCTGCACTGATTACAGAGCTTAATCTGCTTCGTGAAGCGGCGGACCATCGTAATTGGGATAAACATGTGTTGTTGGTGCGGTGGTTGGGGGAGTTAATTGAAGAGGGTCTGTGCTGATTATTAGAGGGGGCAGTAGAGAGTGTAATAGGGACCAAGTTTTGTTTAGATTGAGGGGGAGAGTGAACTTAGCTGAGAGAAATCACTGGAAAGAGAATAAGGAGAAAGAAGAGGAAAAGGAGAACAAATCAAACAGAAGGGGTTCATTATTCTTAGTTTAATTTCTCCAACTTCTTATATATTTATTATAGATTTGAAATTGTTAACTTTGTAATTGTAGTTTTTTTTTCTTCTACCAAAGTATGAAGTAAGTTGTGAAACTCTAGGTGCATGATAAATCGGTACTATTCTTGTGAAATTTTAAGTTAATTGAAGGGAGGCTGTGCTGATCATCAGAGGGGGCAGTAGAGAATGTAATAGTGACTAAGTTTTGTTTAGATTGAGGGGAAGAGTGGACTTAGGCACCATTTGAGAAGGTTTTCTCCTTCAGTTCGGTCACACTCAACACCGCCGACTAAAAAAATATACATTTGGCGATGGAGTGTTTTTGGAACGTCTTCGGACATTGTATGAGAGGAATGCTGAAATTTTGTTGTTTCAGAATGGAGATGATGAGTTCTGTTCCACAAAGAGACTAGTTAAGGAACGGCGAAGCTCCTTCAAATGGAGCCCTAGCATGAGAGAAAACACTTGAAAGATAATAAGGAGAAAGAAGAGAAGAAGGAGAACAAATCAAACACTAGGAATCCATTATTCTGAGTTTACTTTCTCCAAATTTTTATATATTTATAATATATTTGAAATGTTTAACTTTTTAATTATGTTTTTTTCTTCTACCAAAGTATGAACTAAGTTGTGAAACTCTAGGTGCATGATAAATCGTTAATATTCTTGTGAAATCTTAAGTTGATTATGTTAATGTTGGAAGAAAGTAACTCGCCGAAGAATCTACTTCTCAAAATTCAATTGGGCTTAGACTCAATTAAAAATCTAAACCACATCACAGAATACGATCACACATATTCGAGAAAATTGAACAAACTTATAAACAGAAGGACGACAAAAAACAAATCAGAAAAACACACAAAGATTTAACGTAGAAAAACATGAGAATGAGAAAAAATTGCGGAGCCACGCTACCAAAAGAATTCAATATGAAAATCAGAGACTTTATAGAGAACACTGACTCAAGAAAAACACATCAAAATCATTGAAATCCTTCTCTCCAAAACTTCTCTCTTTCACCAGGATGTTGTCGAATAATGCATTAAATGAAGACCTATGTTATGCTGCTCGAAATTTACCTTAGACAGGTCATTCGTGTGCCAACCTGCTTCAGGCACATAGGCGCCCGAACTTGACCCCTAAGCGTCAAGCTTACTGGAAAAACAATGCCCACACCCAATATTGGGTAACTAGGCGCCTAAAGGGGGCACTTAAGCGCCCCTTGCTTTGCGCCACATCCTGATGCGGGCGCTTTTGCGCCCATAAGCCATCACATAGGCGTTGGCTGCTCTGGAATCGAGCAGTGAGCAGCGCCCACAACCTGGTGCTTAAGCGTCGGGCACTCGGTCTCTGTGCGAGTGCTTTGGCTCTACAAACCCAACAATTAATTGTTTAAATACTCTCCAAACTTCTTAAAGATGTGTACTGGCCATATACAAATTTCAAATTTAGTGCGATTCATTGATATCGATGTTGTCGTGGAGGAACTATTAGGAAAAAATTAACTAGTTCTTGAGTAGGAGGCATATACTACTTAAAAATTTGCAATGTAAAAATAAATTCTTTTGATGCAAAAATTTCACTTGTTAGAATACATGTTTATCAAATTAGAAAGATTGATTTTTTTTTTAAATTTTTGAACAAAATAGAAAGTAGATACGTTTTTAATTGACAACCAAGATAATTTGAAAATATTAACTTAAGAAGTCAAAAAAAAAAAAAAATAGTATAGATGAATTATAAATTCATGATTCTCTCTATGAGTAACAATCGGAGTTTAATCAAAAACTTAGATTGTAGTTATATTATCCATTGAAAAATAAGAATCAAATTTAAGTAACAATGAATTAGTAATTAATTTATCAAAAAAACTTAGATTGTAGTTATATTATCCATTGAAAAGTAAGAACAAAAATTTAAGTAACAATGAATTAGTATATCAATTTTTTTTATTGTAATCTTCGTGAGAAAATGCCCTACTCTTCATATATTACGTGCACACTACGTGCACTTGCAAATATCTAGCCGGTCAAATTTTTGACGATGTTGTCAAAGATCCAAATAAAATTTTGCTCAAGTTAATTTAATTATCATGTTTTAATTCAATTGTTGTTAGTAATCTTCTTGTATTTAATTTATTATAGTATAATCATCATATTGTGATCTTTTTTTGTAGTTAGTTGTTAATACCATGTTATGGTGTCATCGTAATTAATTGTTTTTTTTCAAAGTCTTGTTATTGTAAAGTATTTAACTTTTGTTAATTGTCACACTCATATTTTATTTTTGGAATTTTTATTAGTTTGTGTTGTATGTATAATGTTGATTTTTTGGAATTTTTATTAGTTTGTGTTGTATGTATAGTGACACTTAGACAATGTCGTATAACTTAAAATTGAAAAGAACATACAAATTCTTAAAAAAAGACTTAAAAATCAAATTTAAATCATGGTAACTTAGAGTAGACTAGACCTTCAAGAGACTGTGCAACATTCTTGATGGATGGACTTTATCAAAGCATTAATAAGCCAAACATTCAAGCTAATAACTTTGAACTGAAACCTGCAATCATCTAAATGATTCATAATTCTCAGTTCAAGAGTTCACCTTTAGAATATCCGAACTTATGCATAGCTAGTTTTTTAAAAATATGGGTTTCCTTTAACTATACTGAGGTAAGTGTTTAATGACATCATTGAAATTAGATTATTTTCATTTTTATTTAATTTACAAAGATAAAGTTTGTTTAAACTCATTACCCCCGGTATCAAGAGCCACTTGGAATGATTCAACTCAAATTTTTTTGGCCAAATGTTTTTCACCATCTAAGAGTGTCAAATTTAAAAATGATATTATTTTTTATCCAAATAAAGAATGAGCCAATTTATAAAGTTTGAGAGAGATTTAATAATTTACTAAGAAAGTGTTGTCATCATGTCTTGCAGGCAGGTTGATAATCCAGATTTTCTATAATGGCTTAGTGAAGTCTTTGAGTAAATGTTGCAGCTAATGGTTCTGTAATGATTAAGCCATTTGATGATGCATATGTTTTGATAGAGAAAATTATTACTGATAACTTCCCAATGAGCTTCTGAAATTCTAAGAAAATAGCTAGTACCCATGAAATCGATAACTTATCCATTCTAACTTCACAACTAACTACAATATTTTGAAATTTTGTTAACTCTGGAATGAATCGGGGTCAGAGATGATCTATGGTTAATGATGAATTTGAAATTACTCAATTAGGTGATTCTTACCTTTCACATGTAGTCACTAAACTTTGTGAACAATAGGCAGAATAACCCATTTTCAAACACATTATTAAAGTTGGAGAAATTACTCAAATTTTATTTGAAATAACAATCAAATTTTAGAGACTAATAATTGGAACAATAATTAGCACATGTAGAATATTGAAATAACCAGATAAGCAATCTTTCAAACCCTTTAAGCCTAGCAACCCTTTAGCATTCACTTCTCAAATTTATCCGAAGAAAATAAATCATTGGAAAACTTGGGGTTGCAAATAGACACACAAGTACAAAGTCATGCTATAACAATTAGGAATATTGCAGTTCAATTAGGACAATTGAGTAATTTTTTGACAAATCGACCCCAATTTATGAGATCAAATAACACTGAAGACTGAATTGAATATTAAGAAAAAGAATAAGGAATAATGTATGGCCATCCAATTAAAAAATGATTGAGATTTGGAAAAAAATGTAGAAAATAAGATATGATAAAGAAAGTGAATCTGAACTTGAACCTGAAACTAAAAATGAAAAATTCTAAAATGAAAAAAATGTAGCAAACTTTAATAAAAAAAGAAATATCTCCATCTTCTTTTCTTCAGAGATTTTAAAAGCAATTTAGGGATTGTCTGGTTCACTAAAAAAGAAATGCAGCATAAAAGAAATAACAATATAATTAAAATATAAAGTGTTTGAGATACTTTGAAATTGTTTGGTTTAGTATAAATAAATGTAGAAATTTAAATATTTGTGTTTAGATTGAAAAAGATAAAATCAATATAAAAATGCTCAATAATAGCTAAAAGTGATGACCAGTGGCTGTGATACAGGAAGCGGCAGTGGCTACGATGGTTGGCGACCGATGGTTGATGACGGCATCCCACAGTGGTGGGGTTTGCAATAAGCGGCAGTCTACTGGTAAGGGAGGTGGTTAGCAGGTAGGCGGGCTGATGGTGGCTTGAGGCGGTGGCCAACAGTGACGGGAGATCGACATTTGACAATAGCAGCAACAATAGGTTGTTCTTTACAGTGTATTGGGAAATCATTTAAATCCAATGAATTAGGAATACACCAGTTTTGAAGTGTCGGGTGAATTTCAAATAAACAAACATTTTATATTGTATTACACTTTTATTCAATCAAATTCTAGGGTTTTGAAAACGATTGCATTTAGTTTAATTTACACCATAATACAAGAAATCAAACATCCCCATATATAAACAATTTGCTAGATTCTTAGAGGTGTTTATGAAATTAATCATAAACATCCCATTTGTTGATGTTCTTGAAACAATACCTAGTTATATGAAATTCATGAAATAAATTTTAAACGAAAAAAAATTATGA